GTCGAAAATTCATAATTAGTACTATTTGCTATGTATATCTTTTTTTTTAGTATATATTTACATAAGAGACGATCTGGTAGTGATAAACTTGTTTCACCAATATAATCCACTTGATGACATGGACATGTTAAAACATAAATTAGATTTCGTGTTGTACATGTGACTGGACAATTCAGAATCGACCGATAACCATTGATAAATGTATGTGCTTCATAATGATTAAAATGTACGATTGGTTGTTTTTGACGATAAGTTAATTTATAATTGGGAAAACATAAACAACAAGAAACTTCCAGACAAGGCCTCATGGCAAACATGATCTGTGGTTCTTCAATAGAAAAAATATTTTTGTGTACGTCACCTCGTAGTGATGGTAATGATGGCGGCGCACCTCGATAGGTACATGTTTTCATATAGAATAAAAAAACATCGAATTGAAGATAGAACTCTAAAGCAATCGATTTTTCATCTTCTTGAATCGACTCTTCAAGATGGTAGGTAGTAGTTGAAAAATGTTGTCTTCGAAAGTGGACAAATTTTTCTATTAATAAACACATTTGCTGATCATTAAAATGTAAAACATCTTCATGTATATTCCATAAACGACTTAATGAAAAGATTCGCCGTTGATAATCATTAATGGGTCGTTTACTTGATGGTTGATGATATCCTTCTGTACAGCGACGCACAAATTGCTCGCTATTCAAATGATGTACTAGAACATAGAATGAAATTTATGTCAATGAAAAGAAATTTACTCTCAATATCATTTGTACTGCCCTTCTTACTTGGCACATTACACCAAAGTAAATCTAATTCATTGAATTGATTGACTGTAGGATAACGAGGTAAGACGGAAAAACGTTCAGAGACATTTGTTTGCATAGTCACACGAATTCGTTCGGAGAGAGAGAGAGAGAGAGAGAGAGAGAGAGAGGACTATTTCAATACGATCTAAAACACAAAAGAAAACAAAAGTTGATTCTATAGTCACTTGAAGAAACAGGAGAACATGAGAGAGTGTGAGAGAGAGAGAGAGATAGAATGTGTGTGTGTTCCAAGTGATAAGAGTGAATAGTGACATATAATAGAACTACTTCTCTACGGCAAAAAACATAAGAAGAAGAAGAAGAAGAAGAAGAAGAAGAAGAAGAAGAAGAAGAATGATGAAAAAGTTCATATTAAACGAAACACAAACAATAAAAAAGCAAACATTTTGTCTGTAATCAATATTGGATATGCTCATCAAACGAAAACCATTAGGGTGCGGCGGCTATCGGAGTCGATTCTAAATGAAGAAGAAGAAGAAGAAACGGAAGACATATAGAATACGATCAAAATGGATTGTACGATAAAAATTTTCTTACGATTCGTTTTATTCTCAGTTGAACTATGTGGCATAGCCGATTGACGCCAACTAACTCGTGCACGTGGCTGATTGAAGCCATGTAAGTCGAATTGATCATTGACATGCACAGCAAAATAACATATGAAAATAAAGATACCAATTAATTTCACTATTAAAATGACATTTAAAATAACATCCATCATCACCCATAGATTTCGATCGGCACATGTCGATGGCATCACGAATAATTAATAATAGCAATATTCGAAGATGATAATAATAATCGTCAGATATAAACAATGAGAGAGCGAGAAATATCTAAAAATACATTAGAATTTTACAAGAAATATCTATGTTGTTGACAGATTTAATGTAGAAACGAAATGCGGTGAATAAACTCCCAAAAGAAAAAGTAGCATAGAAGTGGAAAAACAATCGATTTAAATGAAGATAATCATAATGATTATTGTTAGAGAACAATTCTGGTTATGTTTTTCGTTTCACGAAAGACTTTGTTGGTGAGTCATTGCGTTCGCCATCCATTGTGATCCTTGAGATCAATTCGTCGTCTACATGATCGATCAGTAAATTGAGCATGCCTCATCTGATAATGCACAGGAATAGTAAATAGATGATATGTAAAGTATGATAAAAATCGGTTTGATCAAATGTTCATGCTAACTGAGATCTTAATCTACCATTTTTTTTTTGTTTGTTTGAATAATTGTTTCATTCGATGACATAGACAATCAATCTTTTTTTCCCATCTACAAGAAAACAAAGTCTATCGAGATATGTATGCAAAATGAGTCATAAAAGTAAGCAATAAAAAAAAAAACAAACAAACATGATTTCTGTTTAGGATAACTACTACTACTACTACTACTACTACTACTACTACTACTATTAAGGCTACGACATAAAAAGATAAACATAAGTATAGGAACTAAGAAAAACAAATAGAACATCTTTGCACATATGTTAGTTGTATACGATGGTTTCGTCGAATGTTATTGTGTAAATCTATCTTGTTTATACGTCATACACTAAAAGACCTGCATGACCTGTTCTTATCAATGCAAAAAACAAAAAAAAATACAGTAAAAATGATCAAAAAGGTATGATTGATTGTTTTCTCAAATCTTTTCAATGTCTCTTACCGTTTGTTTTGTTTTTTTTATAGATACTTTCCATAGAATACGAAGTTTGTCGATTTTGTAAAAGTTCAGTTTGTATTTCAATCTTGTCTATTAATCGTTGACTAATTGCTAGTAAATTTATGACTATACCGATAATAAAGAGTAATAAAATCAG